GAGGCGCCGGCCCCGAACAGAGCAGCCCTGCGCGCCGAGGCCGGGGCAAGGCCCGCGCCCGGGGCCCCTCAGCCGGGCGTGGGGGAAACCAGAGCTCAGCCTCTCCAGACTGAGGAAGGCAACGAGCAGCCTTCGGGGCTGAAATTAATCTCTGGGAAGCTGTGGGAACAGATGGTGTTTCCGAGCGCTACACGCTCACTTTTAGCTTCAGGAAGACAAATATTGAACGCTCTGCAATAAACACACACAGCAGAGCTGCTGCTTCACCTCCCCTGTAAACAGATTGCATTGGTGCTGATGCGGTTCCTGGTGGAGTGTGTTGTCTGGCACCGTAATGCCGAGGGCACCGTGTTATCCCAGTCTCCGTTTTGAAGCACACACCACTGGAAGAGAGTGTAGAAGTACACAGAAGCAGGTTGGCAGCGTGTCTTCGCATTTCACTGGTCAGCACCGAGTTCAGGAGGTAACAACTTCAATACCAGCATGAATCCTTGGGGCTGGTTTGAAGATTGGTATGAAATACATCCTTCAGAGAGAAACAGGGGAAAGGATGGAAGTTATCTCGGCTCTGCCAAAATGATCAAACATCATTCTCAACATAAGAACTTTACAAAGTCTTTCTTCTTCTTTTTAAAAAAAAAAAAAAAAAAAAAATATTTTATCCAGTAACACTGCAGTAGCCTGACACCCACCTGCTGCACCCAAATTAGGGCCCAGCTCACAAGACACTGTTTGCCTTTGCCACGAAGCTGCTCAGTCTGTGCAAAGGAACTTCAGGGTTCAAGCTGTTTTCTGTTTGGAGTTGGGGTTTTCCCTCTGTCCCAGGAGGAGCCTGGCCTCCTCTGCCCCAGGCACTTGGCGAGCTTTGGACCTGAGCCCTAGCACAACAGCCTCCTGGCGTGTCAGGCTGTAAAGGGCACATCTCCCTCTCTTTTAAACAGGCACTGAGCTGTTTTCATCTTCCTACTGCTGACGTGGCACAAAGCCCGGAGACAGCGTATTTGTGTCAGCTAAAACCCTCAGCGATTTTAAAGAGGTATTCATAAGAAAACAGCAACAAATCCCACAAAAGCCTCCCCAAGAGGTTATCTAATCCACTCCTGCCATATTCTAAGCATTCAGCAGAGCTAGTTTACAACTGTTCAGGGGGAAGAAAAAAAATAATTAAAAAATGTAGTGCTGGAAGACTTCACGCTCCCCCAAGCGGTCTGTTCTAGCTGTCTTCCAGACAGATCTTTCCAATGCTTAATCAACAGCTTCCCTGCTGTAGCTTACGCCCCATATTAATAGGCCTGTCCTAATCAATGTGGGATCATTCATCCTTGTTTGAATAGTCCCCCTCCCCTTTCCCCCAATCCTTCTTTCCACAGGAAAAAAAAAATTAAAAAAAAAAGTTTTTTTCCTTATCCTTCTGTAAAATGTAACATTTTCTAGATATTTGTTTACCGTGCTGCTGCCCTCAACCCCTTCAGCGATCAACATCTTCCTCCAGTTAAAGTACCCAAAGCTGAAGTACTGTATTCCAGCAGAGGTTTTCTCATGTTTAGCACCACAATCCCTCTGAACTACTCTCCCAGACTAATTTTAAAGTGTACATAAAATACTAAGTGTTTAGAAACAAAACTTCAGCAAAAGCAAATATTGATTATTTGAATGGGCAGTTTCACACGTATCAAAGTATCTTTCTTCTCAAATTGTTAGCTAGGTTAAAAAAAGGCAGCTTGCCACATAAAGCTTGCTGTAAGCGTAGGCCAGCAAGAGACCTTCAGGAATACTGTTTCTCCAAGGAACCGATAACCAGTCAGCACTCAAACAGCAAATCAGTTCTATGATAATTTGGCAGACAGGTCAGAGCAGCCAGTTTTATTTGGAGCAATAATATCTACAGAAACTGGTATTATTTTTAAGGTGTTAGTAAAATTTTATCACCAAACAGCAAAACTTGGTGGTCAGGTAATGTATAAATCTCTTTTGGTTATTGCAACAGGGCGAGTGCTGTTCTCCATAAGGCTGTGATAACACAAGCGACAGTAACTCAGGCACTCCCGAGTCCATCTAGTGAGCTGCTGGGAAGTCCGCTCCTGGTCACAGCACTAGGGGGGTTGTGTCAGCTGCAGTGAGTCAATAAAGAGCACACACAGGATTGTACAGGAAGGCTGGACACAACATGTCAGTTTTTTATTAACCAAAAGTGAAGCTGAACCCCAGAGTGGTTTAACTTGTTAAAACCGTATGTTTGTATGGCAGATATTTTTCTTTCACGTTCAACACTATAGTGCAAGAACCAAACTTTGCAGCTGTTCATCCTTTGAGAATCAAGTACTAAATGTAAAATGAATTAAAATAAGGGTCCCTCAATGAAGCAATTAAAAAAAACCCGCAACATTTAACTCAAAAGAACAGACCAATTTTAAGAACTCTTAGGAAATTCTCCCAAGTGAAAGACCTTTAAAAGCACTTGGAGCCTTGAGGTAGCAACTTTATGCAGAATTTAATTCCCCTCCTGCCCAACAGAGAGGAGGAAAATTAGTAACGCATTATTAGCTCCAGCCAGCTAAGCGGAGTTGAGTGTTCTCCTATGAGGTCAGTGACTTTCTCTTGCATCTTGAAATAGCAGTGTAGCACTGCAGACCGTCAGGAAGAAATCCACAAGGAAGGCCTCTTGAAATAAAATATATGGTTTGAAAAAAGTGAAAATAATCAGCAATAACTGTAACAACAAAGATTATCTGGAGTGAAAAAAAACAAGTGTTTGTATTTTGGCAAGACTAGTTTACAAATACATGTCAAGAACAAGAGTCCGCTTTCAGCCAATGGAAAAGAAAGAATGGAAGTGACATTCAAAGGGGTTTTGGGTTTTTGCCCTCTGTGCAAAGTTGCACTTTGTTTTTAAAGTTTTGTTTTAAAGTTTTAAGTTTTGCACTTCTGTTTCTAAAAAAAAAAAAAAAAAAAAGAGCACTTGTGCTCTTTTTTTGTTCTTTTACATTGTGAAACCTGTGCTGTGACATTAAAAAATACCATATGCCAAGACCACCGGAAGCTCCTCTCACTGACTTCACAACAATCACAAGCAGGGAATCACAAACAAGAGACTTTTTTCCCCTCTAAGTCTCAGAGACACTATCCTCTTTGCCCACTTTGCTGCTGAGTTCTTTTATTAAGAACTAGATCTCTCTACGGCCAATTTCAGAGACTCCATGGCAGATTTACTGAACACTGAGCAGTAACAACGCAACACCTGGGCTCATTCTCCATAACTGTAATGAACGGTCATAGTGAAAAGGGATGAGCTGAGATACAGTGAAGCAGCAGATCTTCACGAACAGGCGCCTCACTTCACTCTTTGGTCTTGCTATCACCACTCACACGCTTTCCAACTTTGCTCACTGTTGGTGCTCTAACCAGATACCTGGCAATGTCGAGTATCTTACTACAAGCTTCTCTCACTATCTTCATGCTCCAAAATTGTACAGAACAGGTTGGTTAAACCAGACCAAACTAATAAGGCGCATGGCAAATTACAGCTTTTAAACAGACGAGCCTTTTTACAGGCTCATTCCCTTTCAGCTCAAGGTCAGGTTGCCTCTTTACACCACAGAATGATGTCACACAGATCCTGAATGCAGGATGGCATTGCCCAGTATGCCCTTGCTTCAGGGAGTCTAGAGAAAGGTAAAACTTCAAAGTTTCTTGCTTGCATGGGATCCCAATCTTTTGACTTTACGTTCCCATCCTTTCCTTTGACTTCTAAAAGCCAACAAATCCTCCCTTCCAGGCAGAATTACCTTCAGAATCTAACATCAGGCTCGCCTGTTCTTTTGGTTAAGCTTCAAACCAATTGCCAATGTTTGCATATGCTGAGGTATACAATCCTGTCCTGCAGAGAACCAAAGGCTGTAAGAACCAGAATCCATCTGTAAGGCAGCCCAACCTGCCAGGCTCCTCTGGATAAAGGAAAGGATATTCTGCCTGGGAGCAACAAAGGCCAGCTGATGATTATTCACAGCCAGTTTCTCTTTAATTCACATGACAAGTTTAGGCAGCACAGAAACTCATGCTGTTTTGGAGACCAGTTTATGTCTGGTTCGCAAGACGGTCATGAGCTGGCTTCAGACTCTTGTCTTGGAGCCCAAAGTATCTTCAAGTTTTATCTGTTACCAATGCGAGGACCTGATGAGTAATTTTCTTTTTCTGCATTTTTTTTTCTTGTTTTTTTTGTTTGTTGGTTTGATTTTGGTTTTTGTTTTTTTAAGTTCTGTAATCAAAAGAATGATTTTGTCTTTGGTGTTAAACCTTGGAAGCATGAATGAAGTACCTGCTGCTGCTTTGGCTGTAATTTACAACAAAAAACCAGCCCAATAAAGCAAGGGAAATTCACTGTTCTAAAATACATGCAGTTAGAACAGCCATTAGACATCACAACCAGGACTTTAATAATATGGAAACACCTAGTTCAGTGGTGTCCGTTACAAATCATTTGCATTATATAAAAATATGACTCCAATTACAGTAACTGGACAACAGCCATTCAAACTTACCGAGTTTCTATCTTACTCATATTGCAGGAACTGGGAGGAGCTCATCCATTTAGGGAAAAAAAAAATAAATCTCCAGAAATCAACTTAAGAGTTGCAGCTAAGCATCTCGTGCCTTAGAGAAATGTCCATTGTGATAACTAGAAGCAGGAATTCAACATTAGCATCCTACTAATCTTGCTCACGTGGCCATGAATGAAAAAATAAAAATAAAAATAAAGCATCCACAATTAAAATTTTATAATCCCATAAAACACCAGTAAGTTTTGCACGAGCTGCAGAAGAATGCAAATTCAAAGGGTCACTAGATTTATTACCTACAAATTCAATGTCTTAATATAAATATTCTGTTTGTACACCATAAAAATGTCCTTCTTATGGTCTGATTCTTATTTAGATAATACTCTCGATAAAATCTCAGCAGTATGCCAATTAAGGTCATTAAAGCTCTAGAAATAGAATCTACCTAATAAATGCTGCAAATTTAACAGGTATTTTAGATAAACATCATTAGCTTAGTTATCACCTAAACCAAAAAGACTCCTCAAACACACCAACTGCGTAGTTAGCAAAGACATTTGCTTTACAAACTCAAATGTTGCCAACTTTTGAAAAGTTTAGCAAATCAACATGGTATTTGGAAGCATCCAAGTGTCTAATGAAGTTAGAATACTGTGAAATGTTAGGACTGGGGGGAGCTCCTGTAAACAAGTACAGAAGTAGTCTTCATTTAAATTACAAAACATTCACCTCCTTAAAAAGCTTTAAAACTGACCCAGTCAACAACAGCGCCCTGGGAAATCTAACAGTATAAAGGATCTCCGTAAGCAAGAGAAGGTCATATATTGTGATCTCACCACAATAAAATATACTCAGTGTCAGGAATAAGGAGCAAATTTGGGGAGATGACAATTATGACACCTTCAGGCCATTTGATCTGAACCACTGCACTTTTTTGGGCAGCACAGAGTAAAACAATTTTCTTTGCCGCTCAGGAAACACTTAAAACATAGTAATGCTTGATTTTCTGCATTTTGTTGCTAAACAGAGTCTCCCACATCCCCAGCTCGGTTTACTTGGTTTAAAAAGCTATAGTACCTGCAGCTTTCAGCAGGTGGAAGAAAACTTCAGTGCCACCTTATCAATTGGCTGCATTGATATTTTAACTTTGAACCCAGATGCTACAATTAAAAGCAAATTTGACATTGTGTAAGGAAAGCATCAGATGAAGGTAATAAGCCCATAAAAGGCTCATATTCCACAGGTTGCCTCTGCAGAACAGGCAACCTCCCACTACTGAATCTGATCTGAAAATTTATCCCAACGGTAACACAAGAAGGAAGGAGGCTTCTGTATCTTGCACACTTTGGGTTTCATATCAGGCACTTGAACTGTTGGACAGATGCCATTCTGAACCAAGTAAGTGAACATAGGGTTAGAATCATCTTTAATCTAGGTCTAATAATGAAGTATCAGCAGCAAAGTGGAGGCAGGGAGTGAGCAATCCATCTGTGCTGAGACTTGTTTATGGTTTCTAAAATGCCCAAGAAGACAGCAGCAGTAACTGTTCCGTAGTGTCCGTTTTCCTTGTGAGTTGTGTTGCTGATAGGAGGCTTTTCTGTGTCTTGAACTAAGAAGGCATTGAGGTACCCTGTGCCTAATTCCCTGGATCCAACAGGTCCATGCTAGAGCCAAACATTGCCACCAGCTGCTCCTCATAATGTGTTATATTCCTCTTCATAATGTCCATGCAGGGCCCAAGCAACCTCTCAAATGCTTGCACATCCATGACTGCAAAGGAACAGAGGTGAAAACAAGACTGTCAAAAAGGACACCACATGCTAATCTATTTTTTGAACTCAGACCCTCAGTCCAACCCATTCAGGTTTGAGGCTTCAACAGAAGCCACAGAAACAGAAATCTTATTTCTGATTTCCCTCTGTACTGTTATTTGGAGAAACAAGATTAATGAAATACACACCTGACCCAAGGATAAATACAGAAGCCAAATACATAGCACCCTGGCATTAAAAGATCACCTGAAAGCTGTGTGTGACAAACAGGCTGTAGACAAGAAGCTGATGCTACTTACCCCTTCAAAGAGTACAGGCCACACAAGCAGAAAAAACAGAATCTGCTGGAAGGAAGCAGTGGTGCTTCTCAAACTTCTACGCAGTGATCCACTCCAGCCCATACTCCTAGCTTCTCGTGTCTCACCACCAGTTACCAAAAGGCTGCTAGGTTTTGAATAGCTGCTCACTCAGGCATGGTCCACAAAACAAGCAAAGACCAGAAAAAGGGTAACTAGAAACACAGATGATCTGCTTACCTAAACATTTGACCTCCCCAACAGCATAGGCAGAGGCTGCTCTGGGTTTGTTGGTAACAAGTGCAAGCTCTCCAAAATACTGCCCTCTGTGACACCGGGCAATCTCCACTTCTTGATTAGCTTCTTTACTCGTCATAGTCTGTTAAACATCACATTTTAATTATTTGCATAGTTCTGTCTTTGTACGAGGCTGCAGTTAATCCCAGATATCTTACAGATGTGCAACAGCTCATTGGTTTAGGGCTTTTAAACTAGCAAGTCCCAAAGCATGCTCTATACTGGTAGAGCACCTTAAGAGCATGTTCAATTAGAAGTTTGATAAGCAAAGAGTATGCCAGCCCACAAGTTTTGAGATTGGCAGGTATTTACTGTTACAGCTTTGGGAACTGCTGTTACATTAGCCTAAGACAAGTTTTATCATGCACAACATGTTGCTCACTAAGGCTGCTTCAGACCACACAGAGATCTGTTCAAATGCCGATGTCTAGTGTGTCACTAGAGATAACACACCCCAGGTTTTTTAAGTTGCAGTTTTCTATAGTCCTAGAAGAAAAGTTTCATCTCCACTCTTAAGGCCAGGGAGATTATATCATGTTAGTTTGCAGAGGAGCAGATACAAGCTAAAGACCTTCCAACTTCAGTAAAGTGACTTCTGGCCCCTTCAGAACAGGTATGAGGATTTAAAGCCTACATCACATGAGTGACAATGACAAATACCATTAAATAATATCTTAAAATAAGTTAGGGTAGGATTTTTCCCACCACTTGTATTAATAGACTGAATTGGGAATTGACCTAAAGCCTAATCACCCAGTTTGAACTCACCTTGCTTTTAATCAAGATTTTTACTTCACCAGATTCTACAATGTAAAAACAATCTGCTTTATCACCCTGTGAAGAGAAAAAGGGAAAACCAATTATTTTTTAGTTTCTGTAGAAGTATGTATAAGTGGTATTAAAGCATTCACTCTGAACTAGGCCTTGTGCAGAAATCTGCTAGAATTGACAAATACTCAAATTCTTAACATTAAAAGGTGACTGGTAAGGTAATATACCAGAGGAACCCACAGGGGAAGGAACTATTAGTACACATCATTCATTGAGAGGGCAGGTGGAAAGGAAAAAGCAACGGAGATTGACGATATATAGCAAAATGACTTAAGTGCGAATTTTCTGATCCTGATGGAAGTATCCAATAGTTAGTGAAACTAAGCAGGACCTACAATTTCCATAAGCAAGTTTTAATAAAACACCAATTTAGTGACTGCATTTCTCTATGTCAGTAGGAAGAAGGAGCCATTAAACTAAGCATGAGCTCAGTCAATCCAGGGTAGAATAGTGGGAGATCAGCATAACCCAGAATAGCTGTATTTCAGGACCATGAACACAGAAAGTAAGGGGAGGATAGTTTATAGAAAGCCAAGTCTGCAATGCGAGCAGTCCATATAAGGAACGATGCAACGGCTATATAAAGGTAGAGAGAATGGCAAGGAATAATAAAGCACTCAATAGCATCATGCCAGTAAAGGAAAATAAGTCACATAAGGCAGGTGGGATAAAATAAAAATTAATAGCCATTTTATATCAAGTTC